GGGGGGGGGGGGGGGGGGGTGTACTCAAGAAAATGCTTGCTGTAGTCGGTATTACCAGACCTCGCATCCCTACAATGCCGGGACAGAGTGATATGCCGGGTTTTCGTCGGCGGCGCAGGGGGGGCTTTGTATCCCTTGGTAGGTGTCGAATGTTTTTTTGCGTCTCTGCATGACGAGAGGGTGAGTTGTAGTCTTTTCTCGTTTCCTCTCTGCATGAGGAGGAGGAGGTAGGCTGTAGTCTTTTCTCGTTTGGCCTTAAGAGGTCGTTGGCTGTCTTGTGGTCGTCCCGCGAATAGGTCCCGTGACGTGCTGCGCGATGTGTCATACAGTTTTTTTTTATGGTAATGCCGGGACGTGCGCGCGCAGGTGCTCAAGCCGGTGAACCAGCGGGCGCAAGGCAGGGTGCCGCCTCCGGACGACGTTGACCTCGAGCAAGCCGTTGACGGATCGGCTCTCGACCGGCTGCTAAGGGTGGAGGTTAGTGCGGCCTGAGCGTACTTGATCGCTCTACCACACACACCCGACCCATTGCATCGTTCAGTAGATGAATGAGGGCAGGGACGTCATGGTTCGTATTTTCAGCACGGTTGCGTGTAGACAGGCAGTCGCCCCACAACACCTGGTTACAGTTTTTTTTTTTTTTTTCTTTTTTTTTCCTTCCGAAGGTAGACGGTGCCCCGTGAGCAAGTACTCAAGTAGGCTTGGGTTGCATCGTACCGTCTGGTATCACCTTTAGCTGGTCCCGCAGCAGCAGTGCACCCTCTCCGTGTTGCTAGAGCCCATGTTTCTGCGGGGCATTTCCTCTTCATCCACATGCGTCGTGCTTTGGTAGTTAGTGCTTGCTGTGCCTGATTCGTGCGGCCCGACGGTGGCTTATGTTGTCCCCCGTTTCTCTTGTCGATTGCCTCTTCATTCAGTACGACGGGCCCACAGATCTGACGCAGCTGTCCTTCACTCAAGTCCGACTTCCTAAGAAGAGCGAGCACGAGGAGTACCGGGTGTTCGGGTGGGTTCGTAGTTCTCATCTGCGTGTCCCCCTCGTTCTCGTTTTTTCTTTGTTTTTGATTGTTCGTTTGGACGCTGGTTTTCACCCCCTCTCCCAACCCTTTTTCTCCTTCCCATCTGTGTTGCGTGATGTGCTTCTTTTTTATGTCGTACTTGTTCATCCTCGTTTCCCACAAACGCAACTAAATAATATCCTGCCTCTAGCACATAAAATAATTTGTTCTGTTTATCCCCCGCCCCCAAAACAGCAGCGCCGAGAAGGACGGCCGGGGCAGCGGTAAGCGCGGCAAGAAGTCTTCCCGCAAGCAGAGCAAGAAGTCCTCCCGCAGCCGAAGCGGGTCCCCGGACAACCCGCTCAACGGCGGCGGCGGCGGCGGCGGCGGCATGCTGATGCTAGGGGGAGACGACCGGAGCTCGGCTACGACCGGGAGCGTTGGCGCCGGGTCCCCGCTGGCGAACGGAGGGAGGAGGAGGCCTTCGGCCGACGACAGGTACAAGACGGACCCGTTCTACTTGGGGGGGAGGAAGGGCTCGTCCAACCTTGTCGAGCTAGGAGGAGGAGGAGGAGAGGAGGACGACGCCGACGCCGACGGGGGCTACGCACGCGGTGAGATGTCGACGGCGCTGGCGTTGGTGGGCGGGAACGACAGCTTCGACGACGATTTCGCCGGGGGGCCGAGGGGGTGGAGCAAGGGCCGGAAGGGGAAGAAGGACAAGGGGGGGAAGCGCGGGCGCGGAGCGGGGAGGGACGCGGCGTACGCGGTAGACAAGGTGGAGGTGAGAGCGAGCAGGAGGGGGCGCAGCGGGGGCGGTAGCGTGCGCCGGGGGTCTTTCGCCGAGCGTGGTGTGACGAGTGCATGTGGGAGTTGAGAGGCACACCGTCGAGACCATCCTCCGGAAACCCCCATTTTTTTGCACTCTTGAGCATAGTTTTCTCAAGAATGCACAACGAGTTCATCGCTATCCACTGACAAGAGCCCCGTTTTGTCATTTTTTGGAACCCGGGTGACACTTTTTTGCACCGAACTGACGGACGAATGTTACCGTGTTGTGGGAAAACTGACGGCCGTGTCGGGTGGCGTGCACCACCCCGAGGCTCTAAGTCGAACACCATCCCCGGCTACAATATTGTAGTGTTGCTTGGTGTTGAAAAGAAGAAACGGCGGCATAGAGAGAAAGCGCCTACCCCCTTCCAATCCCTGCTCTCACAGCAGCTGTGATGTTGTAGACATGCGTGGTCCGTTGCACTGATCGCCTGTCTCTTTTAAGTACACGCCGGTAGAATAACATTCGCGGAAATGTGCGTGACTCTCAGAACGTGGTACCTAATAGTAGGAAGCGTGGCTCGTAACGTATCACTGCAAAACATGAACTGTCCTCAATATGCACCAATACATGAAGATAAACTGTCCTCTAAGATCTACCAACGAATAGCACGATACTGCTGTACCTCTTCGCGTAACAGCAATTGAAAAATCTGCTATCTGCTATCGACCGCAGATGATGCCGGCTAGCGCAATCATCGACAGCGAAGACGATGACGACGTCGACGAGCCCGCGGGAAGCGGGAGCCGCGGCGGCGGGCGGCGGCGGATATCGTCGCGAGGAGGGCGAGAGAGTTTGGCGGCGATCGACATCACGACCCCCCTCGAGGAAGACGAGGTCATGCCCGAGGTCAAGCCGTACGTGGTAAGTCGGACGGGGGTGTTGGTCGAGGCGGTGTTAGAAACGTTTTTGGTGCTGCTGGTATGGCGATGGGGGTGGGGATGGCGCGGGGGCGGGGGGGGCGTGCTCATGTTTTGCATGCCTTAGATGTTTGACCACGCGTCCTCGAGAGGACGGAACATTATTCCCACGGGACCGATGGCCAATCGGTCCTTCCTGCTCTGCCAAACGTGGTGGGGCGATCGATGTTGGTCTGGTGGATTTGTGGGAGTACTATTGTCCACGCCGGTACACGAGGGATGTGTGTCTTGTGTGACCAGGTGGTCGGGGTGGAGCAGCCGAAAGGTGGGACGATGAAGCCCAACACGCGCGTTGCCGGCTGCCGTGTGGCCTCGGTGCTGTTCTTGGCACGCAGAAGTTATTTTGCCCCGCTATACAGGCGGGTACCTCTACCGATGTGATTGCGTTTACCGATTCTCTCTCCCCCGACTCGGTCCAGTTGGTTCGTCCGAGGATTTATTGATGCGTTTGCGATTTCTAGCGCCGATGTGTCGCCTCCTTTGTGGCCCCGGCTGCTGCCTCAGATAGATTGTACCGAAAGGTATCAGGACGGACGAAGTTCGTCCAGAATACATTGATGACAAAAAAAAAAACGCGAAAAAAAGGGTGCTCAGGGCGTAAGATGGCGTCTCCACCGATGTGACTCTCTTGCTGTTGCTGCGTTTTTGTTGTCGCAGCGCCTGACGGCGGAGATGGCGAAAGGCAGCGAGGACGCCCCTCGCTCCAAGGACGCGAAGCAGAAAAAGAAGAAGAAGAACAGCAGAGAAGAGGAAGCAACTCCCCAAGGAGAGCGAAGCAGCAAGTCCCGGAAAGCCTCCTCCGACGCCAAGAGGAAGTCTTCGAGGAAAGGAGACACAGCCGCAGCGGCCTCGCCTGGCGCCGACGCCGAGGTCGACCTCATCGGCTGGGGGGCGGGAGAAGCAGGGCCCGGGTTGGCGGCCGCATCTCCGAAGGTCCCGCCGGTGGCGCCAGCCCCGGCGGGGACGGCGATGAGAGCACCGCCCCCGGCGTCGATGGGGACGTGGGAGAGCGATCTGTCGGCGATTTTGTCTGCTGATGCTCCTCCGGTTGCCGCTGCACCGGTGACGGGGGTTTGGGGCAGTGGCGGTGGCGGTAGCGGTGCTGCTGCTGGTGCTGCTGGTGCTACGAACCAGCAGCTGCTGGAGGACCTGGGGGGGGTGGTGGTCGGTGCTAAGGGTGGTCGTCGAAGAAGCGGTGAGCGCCGTAAATGGGTTGACTGATCATTGTTTTGTCGTTGTTGTTGTTGTTGTTGCTGTTGCTGTTGTTATTATTGTTGTTGCTGTTGTTGTCATGTTGGCGGTCCTTTGGTCTGCTTTTCTTGGCCGGGTCGTTGTCATTTCGTCGAGGACGTGGTGCAAGAGGTTGGAGGCAATCGTGGTGTGCAAACGTTCTGCGTTGGGGAGTGTCGGCTGCGCCCTCTGCTTGTTGCCCCCCAAGTTAGCCAAGGATTACTGTAACTCGCGACGCGTGAAGGAAATTGTTGACCGCTGTTCATTAGTCCGCCGTACACCTCTTGTCACGTGGAGGTAAGTATTTTATGAGCGTGTTTTTTAGGGTTGGGCGAGCCGCGGTCATGATGAAAATGCTGTGTTGAAACGCCATCCTCCGCCTATGGCCGTGGGTCCGAGAGACCGGGACTGGTGTGCCTGTTTGTGACGGTCTTGTCCTCGAGCGGCACAAGAGTGACCCAGTCGCTCACCACACCGTCCCAATTGTTCTACCGCATTGGTTGGTAATCTGGCACCCATCTCCTCTTCTCCTGGTTACTAAATATTAATGAACGCACCCAAGTGTCACCGTCATCCCACTCCATAACGTTTTTGATCGCGTTGGCTGGTTCTCTCGCGCGTACTTAGTTGGACTGCAAATCAATCAAGCGCCAGCACAACGGCATACGTGGCTGATAGCGGGCGTGGTGCCTACCCTTGCCCTTCTCGCCTCGGAATGCAGATAAAGACGACGCGGACTCTTCGAGGAAGGGCCACAAGGGCAAGTCGTCCAAGAAGAAGAGTTCCTCCTCTTCCAAGCCTTCCAGCAGGGACAAGAAGAAGAAGAGCAGAGGCTGAATTTATTCACAACTTCGTGACTTGAGCCACAAGGGCTTGCTCGGACATTCTTGAGGAAAGTTTGTTTTGGATTCGGAAGTGGTGGGGGAGAGCAAGGTGTGTAGCTGGCAGCAGAGTTTGAAATGCCGGCTGTGTGGTGGTAGGTGAATTGAATGAAGTGCACCCCTTTTGTGGAGAAATAGTTATTGTTTTCTAGCGCGTGGAGGAGTTCTGCTTGCGGTGGCGTTTATTTCAACCCGAACTATGTGTATTGTTGATGCGCTTCGTGAACTCATGTACACGAACCCCCCCCCCCCCCAAGTCTGCATGTCTCTGTTGTTGTTGCATCAGTGACCGAGAGATTTTACCGCTATTTTACTGTACTGGTAGGTGCTTAGACATTGGTTGTGTGCCGGAAGTATTGCGTCGTGACATGTGTGGTGAAGGTCGGGCATGAACACACGAGCTGTGATACAGTACACATCACTTCGCCATCTCTCGCGTTGTTTTTCTTCTTTTGTTCGGGGGAAAGAAAATGTGTGTGTGTGTGTGTGTGTTTCGTGAG